TGACAAAAAAAAAAAAAAAACATAATTTAACACCTCAAGTACTACCAAATCAACATGACTAATGTAATGTATAGTATATTGCAATTAAAATTAATGTTGCTGTGCAATTGCCTTTCTATTTAGTTTCATATTGTTGAGTGGTGCTAAGTTTAGAGTACAGGGTGGTTTTAGGTTCTAAAACACATTTTAGTGTCATTTTATACCTTGAAAAGGGTAAAAAAACGTTTTTCAAAACAATATACTGTAAAAATGTTACAGGAAAAGACTGTAAAAAATGCTATAGTAAAAACCCCGTTAATAAGTCAACTGAATTATTACTGTACTGTCAGCTGTAAATATAAATGGTTTAACATTGATTTATTTGTAATTTACTATAAAATACTTAATTTGCTAGTAAAACTATGAATTATATAATTTATGGTGAAAAGCAATAGAACATTCCCATAAGTCGCTATATGACACCGCATATATTTATAATGTATTAAAATAGTTATTAGAGTATTCACATTTTCATAAACCAGCCAAAAAAAGGTTTAATATTCAGAATATGTCTTTTTAAATAGAATGTCCTAATCCAGCAACACGTTTTTCCACTGAAGCATTTATTGTAAAAGTCTGGGAAGCTATAACAATGACTTAGTTTCCCGGTGGACTGTTAAATGCCTGCACTCCCAGAACTCCCAGTCCCAGATACTGCATAAAGTTTGAATAGCAGTAGCAGTAGAGCTTTTTAATGCCATGTCAGCAACGTGGGCTATTTTCATGGAAAGAACTGAGTTACACATAAATACAGTAAAATAAAAACAAACAAAAAGAAAAATACAGCCCTTATTATTATGCAAGATGTTTCACATTTACATTAGAAGATAAAACTTCTAAAATGTTTTTCTAGGCCTAGTAAAAATCTTCCTTAAGACCTTAAGTGAGTTTACTGAATAAAAATATTGTCTACTTGGATTAAAAGCAGGACAGTCCAATGGAAATGGACTTTAATGGAAAGGGGGGTCTTGCAGAACATAACGTTGGGTCTTCACCTTTTTGGCAAATGCATGAGTCAATCTTGTGTAGGGTTGCAAAAAGGTGGAAAATTTCCAGTAAATTTCGGAAACATTCCAGGATTTTTTTTTTTGGAATATTCCAGGGATTTTTGGAAAGTTTCCGGAAATTTACCGGAAATTTTCCACCCCTTTGCAACCCTAATCTTGTGCATAAAGTTTGTGGCTTTGAGTAATCAGTATTAGTAGTGATCAACTGGATTGGCATCTTTATGGTTAAAGACAATATACATTTGATACAGAATGCAGAAATGCAGACATAAAATAAGTAAAAAGGAATAAACCAAGTTTGAAATGCCAGACCAAGTTAAATGGTTCAATCAGTCAATCAAAACTTTCTTAAATGCACATTCCTGGTCATATTGTGCATTATTCATTGGTGGATATTATTCCAAAGAAAATATTGTTAGTTATATCTTTCAATATAAATAAGAATTTGTTCTCCTTTAAAAAAAAAAAAATTCCATGTCATCACAGATTTGGCAAGCTCACAATCGGTCTGTATCATCATTTAGGTACATAATAGCCACTTCACCATCTAATCAATTCCTGATAAATAATATCATATCTTGTCTCAAATATCCAATTTCACCCAGTAACCTGTCAGAGTGCAGTGTTAACGTCACCCTTATGTTTACAGCCCATCATGCTTTACCTCATAATTCAATCACAGCCCTCAGTAACAATAGCCCTTTCTCTGGTGTGCTGCTTCAACAGGTACCTCATGCCTCTTTTCCCTCGTCACAGCTTCCCAGAGGTTTACGTGAAGCAGTCACACAGAGGTCAGCAATGGCTGAACTGAAAATGACCCTTTCCTCTTACAGCCACCACCTGGCACCGCAGCGTACAAATGGAGAACAGCAGAAGGAGGGGGAAAGACAGAAAGCAACAGAGTCTGTAGAGAATGACAAACACTAAAAGAGGAAGAAATGTACTTGAGATGAACCTGGACATATAGAGATCTGTGAAAACAATCAATTCAGCCACTTTTAGGCAACTCAACCAAAGTTAGTGGGCTAAAATTAAAATATGTCACTCTGCTGGTTCACATTAAAAAGACATTTCTGATATCGGATATAATTTACTCTAGTTTAGTTTCTGAAACTATTACAAACACATAAAAATTGGATAATCAGCTATTTAGCATGTTGGCATAATATTAAAAAAAAACTGGCATCTAACATTCAAAACCAAACTTTAAATTTGAGTTTGCACTGATATCATGTTCATCATGTTCCAATCACAGAGATTTCAGGAGGCAAATTCACGTATTGAAATTCACATATAGAAATAACCAATCAATACACTGTGAAGAATGTTATCCAAGCAGTCTAACTGGATAGTCAGTACGAGTGTATTATTATTCATGGCGCCAGCCAAATGTTCACAACAAAGGTCAGAGGTCAAAACTGGAATACACAATCCTGGAATGCAACACGAAATTCCAAGCTCAATCTGAAAGCAGAAAAATGCTGCCTGCCTAAAGTGATATACAGAAGCCGGAAGGCATCAAATCTTTGGTTGCATTCAGTCGTGTAAGATGCTGGTCAGATGTACTCTTCACTGGCAATGATATCTCACAATCCTGAGGTTTGATTATTATTATTATTTTTTTTTTTCAAAAGAGAACTGCTTTTAGATCAATTTATGTGATGTTACAGCTTGAAGCAAAATTACAGCTTCTTTTGATTTCGGACACAGCAAGTGTTTACAGACTTGGTTGAATGGGATTGGAGGATGTGTCATTGCATTTCACTCAGCAAATTTAGTAATTACAAGTATGGCAAACACAAACACAACACAACATTTATATCTGCACAAATACATATTAAGCAACATTTTGTTTGTTGAACCACAGTGCAAAGCAATGGATTGGAGATGATAGGAAGCCCCCTGGTGGACATTTGATGTTGACACACTATAACCTGGGTTGACAGCATAGACTGACAGCCACACAGGCATCAAATAGTGATATTTCTTAACTTAGAAATCTGTCATAAATTCCTTTTAACGTTTTTTATTAAAAACGAGCATAGCAAAAGTAAATTAATCAACAACAAAAAAGAGAACTATAGTTTGATCTAACCCACAATTTACAGATTCTTCGTTTAAAAATAAATTGACCTTACCTTGCTCCTCTGCATCCAATAGATCACCACAGAAACCTGCATTGAGAAAATCATAAAATTATATACAGTTTGCATAGTTATAAATGTAGACACAGAATGTCCCATACACACAACAAAACAGACATATGAAACATACTTTGTTTAAAAAAT